GCGTGGGGGCAACGAGAGGGGGGGCAAGGTGGAAGTAACAAGGGGGCGGCAATGAGGGGTCAAGGTGGAAGTAACAAGGGGGCAGCGTGGGGGCAATGAGGGGGCAAGGTGGAAGTAACAAGGGGGCAGCGTGGGGGCAATGAGGGGTCAAGGTGGAAGCAACAAGGGGGCAGTGTGGGGGCAATCAGCGGGAGCCACCAAGCCACACTTCAAGCGGTCATGGGACATGGAATGTTTTTCCTCCACACTCCCCTTTCGTCTCGCGTTTGGAGACGGCTGGTGGAAGGCTCGTGGAGCTCGTGGTCGCAGCCGTCGGCGTCGCAGCCGTCAGCTCGTCGGGCCCGAGACCAGCGCCCTGGCGTGCCCGACAGGCGGGGTGAAGACCTCAAGAGCTCCATCAACGCGGTGCTCAAGAGCCAGGTTGGGGATGTGTTGACCACAACGTATGCGTTGCACAAACGCAACTTGGGGGTGCAATCATGATACCATCATGTATATATCCAAATCCACCCACATTGACTTGTATCTCTTTTTGCATATTTCCTCCTGGGACATCTCTTGGTTTCAATCTGTTCCTTTTCATGACGGACCACCCGCACGAGCGGTCATGCGCCGCTGACACGGTCAGCCAGGACATCCCATCGCTTAGAGACGCCACACCGATCTTTCAGCCAAGGACCGTCGTGGTTTGGACGACTTGTTTTATGTGGACATCGGGGTCGACGATGCGGGAGCAGCACTTACAGTACACAGTTCCGAACAGGGTTTGTTTTTGTATATTGCCTGCAAGTTTTGGGAGTGAAGAGTTTTTTCGTGGTGTGCCGTCCCTTTTGCGTGTATTCTTGCATTTGTTATTTGTTTCATCTTGGTGGATTATTGAAACTTGTTTGGTGCAAAACATGTTGTTTCAACGGCCAGTTGGGACAGCTTAGGCTGCCATCACGGAGCAGTTCACTAACCCGCATCCGTCATGGACAACACGGGGCCTCTCTTTGCATTCTCAAGACCCCGCATCACAACAGCTCCGGAACACTCAACTCCATACTCCGTATACGCATCAACAAAAACTGCAGTTTTATAGTGGAAAAGAAACATGGCCTCTATAGTGACCCGTCGACCTAAAACACCACTGTGTCGACGCACCGACCAAAAACGCCGTCGGGACACCATGAGCGCCATGTTTCCGTGCGGTTGGACGCGGTCAGGCCTGAACTCCAGAAGGTCCTGGACAACTGCGACCGCATATGTTGTTTTCTTCGACCCGCGCGGGGTTTGTGGGTTTTCACCACGGAACAGTGTTGGAAGTTGGGCTGCTGTCGAGTTGTTAATTTAAAGAGGAAGAGGTACGTTTGACGTCCGGGTCACGGTATATAGATGGTTGAATTGCCAGAGTGTCTTTTTCGAGGGTCTTCTTTGAGAAGCAATGCATGGGAGCCGCGTCATGGCTACTTGTATCCTGTCAGGTTAATTTATATAGGTGACTTGTGGGGCGGGCTTCGTGCGTGCTATGCCGGCTACACAACTCAAAGCAGTTGCTCATAGCTGTCACAGCTCAGAGATTCAAGATACTGAACTTTGAAACTTTGAACAGGTCAAAGCGGACAAATGTGTTGTTCAAGTTCATGTTTCTGGTGAATGGATCATAACGTGATTAGCGTTCATTATCGTTGGATACATTTGTAGAAATCCAGTGCACCTTAGGCGTCGGCGCAGTCCTACCAGAGGGTCATTTGCAGCGGCCAAGTGGATTCACAGTAACCCGCCGAAGCGGCCGCAGCGCACCGAATCAGGCCAACGCGATCCATGCGTGGTGTGAGCGCCGTGCGCGGGAGATAGGCAAGTGGCTCAAGGCGAGCTGAGGACATGATCCAACTGGCAAAACTCAACATAGACAAGTCTCCTTCATGGTGATGACCTCAATCACCATGAAGAGCATGAATGGGACATGAACAAGTCCACAGACATTGAGGAAATGTGTCTTCAACTTTCGTGAGATGTTGGACAACCATGTGAATTCTGATCATAGCTGTTGGATTGGTGTCCATAATCATGGTTAACATTATTTGCACATTCCCAAACGTTCTTTTGTTCTCTTTCCTGTCTAAGAGGATGAGTGACTGCAGAAGGGTGCTGCATGCAGCACCCTTTTGCTGCACTGCAAGCGTATTAGTGGAAGGAAGCATGCAAAGACCCACGAACCACCAGGCATATGCATTTTTGTGTCGTCATGGCATATGTGAATCCTTGAGATAGATTTCTGATGACTTTGGGGTTGCTAGTTGATAGTTCACGGTGTTTGTATGCATCATCATGGTAAGGTACATTTTTTTTAAAAGAATGGCGGCCGGGATCAACATCAAAACAACACACATCACAACATATCACAACCACGAATCTTGTGTTTTTAGTGCTTTCTCAAAACGCCCTGGCCTTCGAAAACCACACACTCCGCTACCAGGAACCCTTCCCCCAATGGAAAAGGGAACATCAAACCTTCTCCGCCAATTCTCAAACCACCCAACTCCGGCCCAGTGATAGATCCACCCCGCTGCCGATGCCTTTCCCACGCGCGCCACGAGGATCATCCGGAAGTCACATCTTGGGTGGCACTGGATGACTTGGACTTCGATTGGGCCGATGCCCTGCGTCAAGCGGGTCCGGACCGTCGGTACAAAGGTCGCCGGCGACCGAAAGATCCACCCGGTGGAAGCGGGCGAGGTGGGAAGAAGGACCGGTGCCAAAGTGCACCGGTGCAGAAGAATCTCAATGAGCTGATGAGATGTTTACATGAACATATCGTGCAACAACGCGCCGGTGAGCTAATTACAAGCATCGAGATCATCAGTCTTTGAAGCGTGTCCTCCTCTTCTAAAGCCCCGAAGCCTTATCTCTCAAGGCCGAACTTGAGAGATTGGTGCCTTGGTCCCCCGCGTGGGGGTACATGGTTCCTTTGCCTGATGTTCTTTGGTGGGATAACCTGAAGCAACATTCAGTTCCCTGAACCCCCAGTCGGGGTGGTTCATGGACACCCCTTGACCTCTAAGGGGCTATTAATGGACACCCTTTCCGTGGTGCTGGTCTAAGCTACGTACTTTTGTGGGAACCATTTGCAGATGATGCAGTCTCACCGGATTTCCACCATGATGTTGAAATCTGTTTATTCTAAATCTTTCCTGCACCCACATGCTTCAGCTTAATTGGGGAGGACACTTGTGAGAACCAGGTCACACATCAAAAACACCCTCCAATAAGCTCAACCCAAACCCCTCCAACACCTGCCTTCACACCCGCCGCCCATAGGGACACCATGGATGAAGATCCGCTCGGTCCAGACGAACGATCGGATCTGCCTCACCGACGTCCGGGATCCCCTGGCGGGACGAGGCGTGATGATGCTTCATCACGAACGGGGCGAAGGGGGCGAACGGGGCGAAGGCTTAGGCTTCGGGGGGTTCAAAGACCCCATGTCTTTTGTTCCGAGTGGGAGAGCCCTAGACCCTAGACGTGCTGGCTTCGATCCAGCGTGTGTTGCTCTAAGTGCACGTCACAGATCCTTGAATGGGATATATAACGATATGTCTACGTGGCAAGACCCCCAGTGGCCTGGTGAATCTGAAGGGTTGAACTTGAACCCCCCAACCTGCTAGACCTTGGCATTTGACATCGATTCTATCACAACCCTTGGATGTTACAAAAACTAAAAGCCACCCAAGCATCAGTCCGCCCCTTCAGCGTAGTAGTGAGAGAAGGTAGTTCTGGTGAAGGCCTTGCCATCACTAACTCACCACTTCTGGGGCTCACCATAACTCACCACTTGGAACTCTGGGGAAGGCCTGGATTCCTCGGCGGCAACGCCGGATTACCATGGCCTCGGCGGTGCCGAACGGAACGTCTCGCGGAACCGAGGCGGACGCGTCGGACGCGGTGCGGATCCTGTTGAACCCGCCTCCAGAGCCCAAGGCGGCCACCGTCTGTTGCTGGGACGCGGTGCGAGGGAACAAAGGGAGGGAACACAGAGGTGAAACGAAAGGAGGCAGAGGGATGGAATTAAGTTAGCAATATCATCATTATAACCCCCTATATCAAGAACTCTCAGCCAGAAACCAAGACGCATGGCATTTTAATGTTTGACCATGCTTGACACCCTAAATGTTCAACCAGCAAACAGCAGTAATTATGAAGCATCTGGCCATGTTGCCAGCTGCGTGACTGTAGAGTGCCAAGGTGTGGGCGTGGAGTTGCTATCAGCTGTGCTATCAGCTCACAAGATGCAGCAGAAATTAGGTATATTCGATGTCTCGTTGGCCTCATTTTCGATGACTTCGATATATCTAAGACACACGCGTGGCCGCCCTGAATGGACCCCTTCAGACATCCGGTCTCAGGTGTTCGAACGGGTGAACCTTCGGAGCAACCAGCACGTCGGCCACGTCTCAGGGCGGAGCACGTTGAAGCTCACTCCATTTCTTGGGCACACGTCTACTGCAGGGCTTCCTTTTTTCACCAGAGACGGCATGGTCATGGAAGCGGAAGGTGTCTTGATTCGAGCGTTTGTTGGGAACATCGCTGACCAACCTTTTTTGGTTTGCAGCTTGCATATCTTGCATAAGCTTAAAATCGCACACAAAGATGATTGTAACTTGACAAGACTACAAAGTAGCAACTTGTTCTTCATCCAAGCCCACAAGACCGTCGGATTTCATCCCACTGCCACGAAATCACCGCACTTTTCCAGATGTCCCAACCTTGCAAGAAGGGCCTGGGCCATCTCTTGGGGTCAACTGCAACAGCTAGAATCACATCTGTGAAACTCTTCGCCTTCGCTTCCTTCGGATCTCGCAGGTGATCAGGGTTCTGAGTTCCTCCAAGGCACACGGAGTGGTTCTGCTGCTCCGCAAAGTGATGGGCAACAATCAACAAAGAGCTTGCCACAATCGCTTCCAGAGTGAGACTTCAGAAGTATATAGGTGAGTATAATAGGTGAGTATAGTCTGTTTGGCCTGAAGTGACTTATATTGCATCAATTTTGTGGATTCCTGCTTTTCGGGTGCGGCATCTCAAAGACCAGGGACTACCGATCTTCTTTCGGTGGGTCCGTCATTTGCAGAGGAACACTGAACCCCGCGAAGATCAAGATGTGGAAAGATAAAGTCTGTAACACACGTCTGTGACCCAAGTCTTGGCTGGCTGGGTTGAGTGAATCCGACATGGCTGACTACCATGGACAGTCTCACGTTTCGACGCCGTCAGGTGGCTGACCGGCAGGGAGGCCGAGTGAAACCTATGGACCGAAAGCAGCGCGGTGAAACCGGTGGCCCAGAGCGCGAAGGTCCCTGGTTTGTTTCCTTGTTTGAAGCCACGGCAGACCGAGATTCGACCGGTTTTTGAGTGATTTTGTGGGAGTATCCGATGCGGATTCAGAGTGGAAGTCTGGAAAGCTTCAAGTTTTTAGGCTCAAATGAGCCAAGATCAGGCGCTGATGTTTGCTTGAGAGTTGGTCCTTTTTGTTTGCGGCAGAATGGATTTCGGGTTTGAGCAAGACACTTGATGATTTGTGACCATGTTTGACCCTTTCCTGGATGCATTGAGTGTTTCGCTACTTCGGTTCAGTGCTCGTCAGAACTAAAGCGACCCCACAGTTACGCGCAAGAATGGATGTGATAGGATGCGTCTTGTATAAGGCTCCGCACTTAAAATGTGCGCGCTTTAAACAGCAAGTCGTTTGTGCCAATGACATCTAGCAATGCAACAGAGCAAAACGTTTTGGCGGCGACGCTGAGGTCCGTCAAACTGGCCAGCACCGAGGCGAAGCGCTTTCGCTTCTTTTGTTTTTGGTTTTGCGGGGGGAACGACGTCAGCCCTTTGTTGGGAAGGCACTTGACATGATCAGAACTTGTTGGCTTGAACAAGGTCCCAGTGGCACTTTTGGACCAGCACCCGGCTGTATAGAGTTTGTACTATAGACTATATAGTCTATTATTCCATTCGTTGCCTAAGCCTGTACAAGGTTGAACACGCACCGTTATTTGGAATGGAATATGCTGGAATGTGCCTAAGAACTGACTCTTCATAAAGACTGGGCGGGGTAGCGAGATGGGACTAGTGCTCGACGAAGACACGTGTTCGACGAACACACGGTCCGGCCCGGTGCTTTTTCATACCTGTTTCGGACCAAAAAGAAACAAGGCACCGCCGCCCGGCACCGCTCCGCGTTGGCCGAAAGAGTAGGCGAGTGGACGAGCAAATCCCCTCCAAGCCTCGTCTCCACATGCTCAGCGGTGTTGAACCTGAGATGACGACGAACTCACGCACCGTCTCAAGGACCTGGACCCTGCCGGACCAGCAGAGACGGTTCAGCTAGCTCCCTGACACGAACAGCAGTCTGATCCAAAACAGCAGTTAAAACCAAAACCCAGGGGGGGAAAAAACAACCGAACAATGAACACATGACGCGGCCAGGTGAAAACAATAAGGTCTCTCAAGGCCCCTTCCGCTGGGTTTTTCCCAGGACTCTGGGCCTGAGCGAATTCGATTGGGCTGAGTGGAGGAGCGCCAACCAGCGCAGGGAATGCCCACTGGGTCCGAAATCGAAAGCCCACTGAGGCGCCCATGGATTGGTCGTCAGGCCGAAAGATGGTTTTGTTGGAGAAATAGGGTGAAATGATGGTTGTTCTGTATATAGGCCTTTTATTGGGGCTCAGCTGAGGCTGAGGGAAATGAAAGACTGAGCTTTAGAGGAAGGGAAGCAAAAAGCTCATCGGAACGGAGGATGTGAAAGGACCATGTTTTAGAGCCGAGCGGCCAGGGTGAGAGATGGAGAGGGATGAAGCTTACAAAATACAAGTTTGGAATGGCCTCATCTTTGCGTGTTTTTTGCAGCAGTTGACCGTACTTCCTCCCCCATGATTTCGATCTACTGGTTATACTGATCGTGTCTAAATATGGTCTAAGACTGCCACCAATTGAAAGAACCGGTGCATGAAGATGACCCATTGAACACATTGAACTTGCACACTGTGGCCCCAGTGAGAATCGTGAGACTTGGAGCGCAAGTTGCCAAGATGGCATGGATCTTGCAGCTAATGAGGAGAGACGAGCAGCCAGAAGGGCCGAAGGGCGAAGCGAAAGGAAGTCCACACCGATGCTACTTCGATGTCTCTGACATGATAGAAGTGATGGTGAGTATATGTTCTTTTGGGGGTCAGTTTGATATATATTATCAAGAACAGTACTGATCACTGTTAGAGTGTGAGACCATAATCCATCATAACCTAAATGCAGCCAGTGCTGGCGGATTGGCATGGCTTTGCACGAAGCTGCTCCGGCGCTTTTTGCCGTTGCCAACAGGGAACTGCAGAAAGCTACAACACACTCCGCCTGAAGCCATGAGATTTAGTAAGTCACTATACACCGGCGGTGATATGAGGTGATTAATGTTTTGTCACTTTCTGCATAACAAACCGTTTTGATTGTCAGGTAGGATGACATCACACCGCATTGCCCAAGCAGCCCTAGCATGGGACAGCAGATCGAGAACATGGACTGCAGCCAAGTAGCTGTTCGACTGAAGCGGACGTGAACATCAGCACAGTCAGGGTAACGTCATGTTGAACACACCAAGGGAAGCCAACACATCACGTCTTGCTGGGCCCATTTTGCACCGCAGGGCCATCCTGCATGAGGGATGTCCACAATCCAAAGCATAGATGCTTTGACCTACAGCCTTGGTTTGTTGATGAATATAGGCACCAAGTGAACCAATAGGATCCAATACATGGAACCATATGGAACCAGATATATTGACCCCAGTATTGACCCCTTCTGAATTCTGTAGGTCGGACATCATTCATGTCTTTCTCCAGATTCTGCCCGCCGACTGCCATGTGAGACCCAGCTACGCACGGCACGACGCACGGCACCCGAGCTAGGGAGGCGGCGTCCTGCCTAGCCAGCCGGTCCCAGCCCTGAGACCTGATTCACAGCACCAGCAGCACCAGGCCATCCCAAAACTGAGATGGGTAGTTTACTATGTTTACTTGATGATGGTACTAGTAGCATCTGTGGGCCTCTGTGGGGGCCCGAAGTGAACGATCCCAAGATGTTCATCCCGACCTGGAACACCTGAGCCGCTCGTCCAGGTCATGGAGCTCCGGCCAGGCCCCTACGACCGTCCCAACGGCGAGAGCCGGCGCGGTGCGGAGCGCGGTCCGCCGGAACGCGAGGAGAGCTGTCCGTTCTGCAGGTGGCCCGTGGAGCCGCTGGGAGATGATGGAGGGAAGTGACGTCTTTTACCCCGTTGGTCCACCCCTCCCACCTCCCAGAATCATTGCAAGCAATGACATACTGTATGTGATCGTTTTTTTGCGCCGCAAAAGTGTTTGTTATTGTTTCTTTCACTCCCTCGGTGCTTTCAAGTCAATGTTCAGTCGAGTCTAGAGTCTAGATGGAAAGCAGCACCCTGCCAGAGGGGGGGGGCACGTCCATGGTATTTGTAGATGGCATAGCTGCTAGCTGTTCAAGCTATGCCACTGCAATACACAGGAATCGGAGCTTCTCAACCGGTCGACATGACCGTAAAACGGGCCCGCGGGAACGTTTGTTTTCCACTCCCGCACGAATCCGGGGAGGCACAAAATGACAACAATCCATACAACCAAAATCATGGGTTGGCATAGAGGGCAAGCCCTGTGGGGTCCGCAGGCTGATCACCTGTTTCTTTTTGAGGCTCAATCAATCGGCTGAGGAAATGGTGGCCGTTGATCTATGCTCCCGTGGTCGAACTGGGAAGCTTGGGAGTGAACAGTGATCCCTTCCGGCGAGAACGAACTTGGAGCGGAGGAGCGCCCAATCCATCGGTGAACTTCTCTATGTACTGACTTAGCATTAATAGCCGTATTCATGTTTCTGAAAGGTGCAGTTCCGCCCTATGGAGGCACAGTCGTTAGACTGAAAGCACTTGCAGATCCCATGGAATCAGAGTGGGATGTGGGATGTTGTCATCCCAACCTCTTCAGATGTTGGGGCGCTCGGTTCCACCAATTTGAATCCTTTTCCCGAAAGCAGAGCACGGGTGACAGTACTCACCTGGATCATCGACTGGATCCTTAGTTTCCGACCTCATCCGTGACCTGGTGACCTTAAACCACCTTCGATCCCCCGGAAAGCTGGACCAGACCTGACACACGCATGTCACAGCACTCTCAGCACGCATGTCTCCATGAACCGTGAACCATCTGCTGCGCTCCTGCCCAGGTGCTGAGACCTGGCGCTCCTGCCATTTGAAATGCCTTTTGGACGCCCTCCGCCGCGACGAGGAACATCCTCGCGCGGCCGGCGTGGAGACAAGCTTTGGAGAGAGCGTCTTGGAGCTGGTGACGCGAGCGGAGATGCTTGGTGGAGAGCCGCATGGAGAGCCCGAGGGGGAGATGATGGGAGGATAGGTGGAAGTCCTTTTTTGGGTTGCTTCCTATAGTGTATATAATCAGTGAAGAGTCGGCAAGATAACATCACAATTGTTGAGATGTCGGCCTGTAACCTAGGACCTAAGCATCATTCACTGAAACCTGATGAAACCTGGTACACTCCCTGGAATCATTATGCTTAAGTGGAGTGAAAACCGGTGTTCTTTTGTATTCGGCCAACGGTCATCCGAATTGGGCCACGGCTCGTCACACTTCGACAATTCCGGGATAGGTTGGGACCTTGAAGGTTCTCAGAGCTGGGATGGTCGTTTCCAAGCCGAGATGGTCGTTGCCACTAGAGCTGGCACCTGATATTGGTGCACCACGCGGCGGTACCCGACGTAGGGTTGGTTTGGAGCTCATCAAGCAGGGCGCCTGTAGGCTCGACATGACCGGGTTTTCCAGCGTTTTGGATGATCCATCATGATTCACGAGACTTCGGGACAATTGCTGTTTGTTTCGTGGGTGTCATGGCCAAACAATTTGGGTTAGTCAAGAGTCACTATGCGCATCTTCTACTAAATAGGCAAAAGCAACATGGGGATGCATGGGCCATAATCTGTTTCCCCAGATAGATCGAGAGGTACAGACCCTGAAGGGTCCGCTTCAGCATGAAACAGGTCACCATAGATCACCTTTGCCAGACCGACTTTTTCCTCTTGCTGTGGTTTCAGAGTAGATGACACAATCCCCAAGTCAAATGGTTTAGATGGACCCCCATCTATATAAAGGACATGTAGGGGTTTGTGAAACCACTGTAAGCACGATAAATTCTTGGATGGCCTCGAGTGGCTGTGCTGCTGAGGAAGGCACTCTTCTCTCGCAAGCCATCCGCACGATTGGGCTTGGAGGACGAGAGAATGTGCTTGGCGGCTCAGAGACTCTTGGCCATAAAAGCTTCTTGACTGGTTCAAGCACAGAACCATTCTCCTGTTGGAAACGCTTTCTACATGCTACGATATTCTTATTGGGGTTGGGTCGCTGTAGTGGCAACAAGGGATGATTGAAGAGGCACTCGATTTTTTGTACACGTCGTCTAGACAACTCTGTCCACTTGGTTGATTTCCTGGCTTGTGAGGGAACATCATTATTATTCGAAGCCCAGGCTCCATGAACTTCTCTAGGAAACTGGTGGGTATGGACAACTGCTTGGAATTCTTTTCCAAAGTGGTTTAGAGATCGAGAGTTTGAGATGATGAGTTTGCTGCCCGATCTCAGGATTGAGTTTAAGAGAGTAGGCATTATAGCTAGCACATACATACACTCCCTCTCAGTCACTAACATGGACCATCATAGATCTATTTTGCACTTCCGTGGTGCCCTCCGACTCACTAACATGGAAGTGGAAGACGACCTGTTTGCAAAAGAACATGGTTTTCCAAAGGCCTACTTTCCACTTCCCTTGTTCGTGTGTCGGAGTGTAGTGGGTCAGAGTGGTTGCTCTCGCGCTCGGCAACCAGGCACGCTTCCCCCCACCTGGCCCTATGAGGACAGCAGGTTGTTTGGGTCATTTTGGACGGTGCTGCAGTGGGAATGTTGGGCTGGCAGTGGGAATGGTCCATTGGTGTCAATGGTGCCAGTGGGAATTCGGATCATGATCAGATTCTGGACCAAGCTCCATGTTTTTATTGTTCATTCCCAGATGGTTGTACATCACCACGTTGCAGAGAGACGCCGACGGTCTCGACGAGCACCAAGCAAAAATGAGAAGATCTCGATGGTCTTAGCGTTTTCCAGCTCATTTAAGACAAAGCATCGATCCACATCGCAACATCACATCGCAAGCACCAATGCACATCAATCCAGCCCTACTTCAGCATGGCAGCATAGCATGGGCCCATGCCTTGCTTCCTTCACTGCGGCGACTGTAAGGAGCTGCGGCCAATACCGAAGGCGACCTTCTTTCTGCAAGGGGTGCAGCTTAGCTGCGCATGGCTGCGTTTCCGTTTTTCAGCTTCAACACCCAGTTGTCACCTAGCTTGGAACCTCTTTGGTGCCATACTAACACTATTCACTGTTCCCGTCTCCTAGATCTCCATCCCCCGAAAAGCGACCCGGGTCATTTCAGCCTGTCCCGCGCTAAAAAGCGCGGCTGGCGCTTAGGCTGGAGCTGCGCTTGTCCTGCAGTCCGCAGCTGGTGGAGATCCCACCAAACCTGGGGCGATCCACAGACTTGGAGTCGCTGTGCTTGATTTCCAACAGCCACCTGGACATCAAACCAACGCTGAACTTGGTGAGCACAGTGATATCATATCAGCCTATGGCTTAGACCAGCACCACGGATTCCGGGTGTCCATTAAACACAGGGTCCGGGGATGTATCAGTGATATATCAGCGATACCATATTCGGACGTGGCGACGGTGGAGTACTGGAGGATGGACCATGGACGTCCGGAATGGGCACAGAACATGGATACATGGCACCATGAAGTCACAAGTCGGGGTTCCGAAACTCGTCTCTTATGTGAGTGGAGAATGGGCACCCCTTAACCTTCCTTGACAGCACCCACTTGTGACTCCTACGTGTGTTCTGCTGTGCTTTTGATGTCCCACCGCACCCGGCGCACCGGGCGGGGGCGTTGCCCGCGGCGAGAGCGCCCAGGTTTAACCAGCTTACCCTCGGAGGTGGGCATGCTGCGTGAGCTCCGGTTCCTCTACCTGACGCTTTTCTGTTGGGCATCGCTTTGTTCGTCCAGACAGTCACTCCAGCAGTGCATGCCACGTTGCAGCCCCTTGCACCTAGGGACCCAGAAGGCCTTCGTACTGGACTAGTGTGGTCAGAGTGGCTGGGATGGGCAGACTTGCAGTTGGAGGTGGCTCCAGAGTTCCTTCTGTCATGCTGATCCCAACATCTCCAAACAGCTGCCAGACATGCCTGTGCATGCATGTGTCTACAGCGCCTGTCCGTCGAACCGCCAGTCGTCTGTGCCGTCCTGTCACGGGCGTGTGTGCCGAGTTCCGCGGTCGTGTGCCGAGGAATGGAAACTTCTTGCGGCGAATACCTCAGGCCGTGAGTGATCTGCCAAAGTTGCAGGAGATTTGTTTCGATCCTTTGATTTCGGACTTTCAGACACCGTTTTTCCATGTGTTTCTGGAGCTGCAGGTGGAGTTGAAACTGTTAACTTTAGACTTGGGTTTTCAGAAAGGTTTTTCCTGTTTGTCCTTTGCCGATGAGAGATGAGTGACGGCTGCGTCGGTTTGGAGAACTGGTCCTTGTTCTGCAGAACTTGACTCCTTTTGGTGATTTGATGACATTTGATGTCATTGTTGTTTTCAGAGAGCTTGGGTCGGTTGGCTGATTCGCCCTGGTTCTGCAGAGTTTTTCTCCTTATATAATTTGATGTCATTTGTTGAGAGGGGTGTTGGGGCAGTAGTTGGGTGAAGCTCTTGTTCTGCAGAACTTGACTTGTTTTGGGGAGTCACTCCGGGATCAGGAATGATCAGGATCAGTGCATATCAGGGTCTTCTGGCTTTGAGATGGTTTTGGCTGTTTGTTGGACTGTGGTGACATGGACCAGCGATTCTATCAAGAATAGCCTGAAGAAAGTCGGCCATCCTCAAAACATTTTTACAGAGATCCTTCTACCAGGACCTTCCAACAGCAGGTGGTTTTGGGACACTCCTTAAGCTCTAAGAGGCTATTTATAGACACCTCTTGGAAGGTCCTGGCATAGACATGGAAGAACAAAGATGCAACATCTGATTATTTGTGTTCTTTTGACAGATTCTGTTGTATCATTGTTCTACAGTTGTTCCTTTTTGTATGTTCATGTTTCATCATGTTCCCAATGAGTTTGGGAGTGTGCCAAGAAAGATCCTTCTATATCATCGTCATGTCTAGACATGAGTGTGCAGGGGGCAGCTCCACCCGATGTCATCGACGTATGCTTCGATCCCATGAGACCGTCGCCTTCAGAGAGGGACCCACATGGAACCCCATGGCGACCGTTGATGGCGTGATGTGTTTTTTGCTGAAAACCCGACCGTGGAAGACTCAGGTTCCATCGTGGGCCACCAGTGGCCTAGGGTGTACCCACCTTGGTGTCCACCAAGGATGCCAACTGCCTCGAAGAGCTACCGCACTTCACGGCCCAGCTGCGCCTCTTCACGGCGCCGGGGAATCACCTCACAGAGGCGCCCAGAACCCGCGAAGCGGCGACGAGCGCGGCGCTAGTCGCAGGCCGGCGCAGCAAGGGATTTCGGCGGTTTCCGTGTTTTTTTTGGTTTTCCGTGGTCGTGTGGTTTTTGTATGTTTTTGTTGTTTGTTTGATTAGGCGGTTCTTTTTTGAGGCGGCGTTCTTGTTTTGTGAAGATGTTGGTGTTGATTTGATGTGATGTATGTGTGTGTGTGAGCATCCCAAATACTCATGTTTTCAGGAGATGTGTGGATCTACCTGTTTTTCTTTGGAATCTTGGAAACCCGGAGCGGTCGATGGACCCTCCAGGACGTTCCATCCACCATCCGTACAACCCCTGAGCTGATGGGCCTCTTTTTCTGCATGCTTTCAGAGGGAGCCTCCCATTTTTGCATCAATGTTCAATATACCATTCCTTGGGTTGGTCATGGTTTGTCCTACTTGTAATTACCCGTTGAAGAGTCAGTACACAATGATCTCAGATCTCTATTTTTGAACCAGGCCTAGCTGCTAACCATCATCCACGGTTCCTGATGGATAGACCCCCAAAACCATTTCACCATTTCCATATCTGGACTCCATCACGAATCACCACATGGGCTCCCAAAGCTCCGAGACCCGGCGCCGTTTGACGTCGTCCCAGCGTCTCGAAGGTGGCCTTCTGGCCCCAGCTGGAACGGCTGGAAGTGCACGGGAGCCTCGGATCCATCACGGGCGGCCCGCGGGAGGAACTCCGATCCGCTATACTCCTCGGCGGCATCGTGGGGTGGTGCGTGGCTTCGTTCGTCGTTCGGCGCGCGATCGGCATCGGTGTTCGTTCGGCATCGGTTGAAGAGAGTGGAAGACCAGAGCAGGGGCGAAGAGTGGAGCAAGGACTGAGATGATGGAGCAGGGACTGAGGGGCGGATATGATCGAGGAACCCAACGGGAGACACCAGCCGATTCGGTATAGCGAACTCACAGCGAGCTGGCGCTGCGCGTTTCAAGTCCGCACCCGGTCGCCCCTGCGTTCGTTCATTTAGGCAAAACGCGCCGTAGATCCTCTCATACAGTGTTTTGCCATGATGATGCGCTGTGGGTACACGTCATAGTGTTTTGTTCTTTGTTCCGTGAACCGGGTGGCGTAGGTGTGCCACCTCCTCCTGCACCATCTCGGGCCACGTCTCGCGACCTAAGGAACCGCCTTCAGCGCTTGCTGCCCCTGAGCTGGCATTCTACATCGCAGCTCGTGACGCTCAAAGCCTTTGGGACCGCCCTAGTTGAAGAGCTTTGCCACGGATTTCATGCCGGCCCATGGAAGGGTCACGTTGAAGAACCCGGCGACTGCACGAAAAGGATCCTTCTTTTCAACTGGCCTTGAGCCAAATCCCTTAACGGACCATCCAGTGGCGCCAGCTGATTGTCCTGGTCCTGGTCACTCGGTCAGGCCAACGCTTTGATCGGACACAAGAGCCTCTAAAGAGTTCTTACCAACAGAGGTTGAAGAACCCCATACACTATCCCATAGGTACCCCAGTGAGCTCCTCAGAAGGTCCCTTAACCTCCCTTGGTAGTGCTGCCCGACCACCTATCACGCAGCTTCTTCTTCCGGCGGCCTGTTGGCGTTCGTAGCTTCGTGGCTGGAGGTGACCGGGCCCCGAGTGGGACACACCGGGCCTGACCAGAGGTGACCCAGAAGTGCTCAGGTCATGGGGAACCAGCTGACCGAGCTGCCAGAAGAGGTGGAGATCGAATGTGTTTGGAGTGACCAGCCCCTGCGAGGCCCTCCAATTCCTTGGGATTGTGTGGGATGTCGCAAGCAGCAAACGTTCGGAACATGTGTTATAAAGGATTCTGAAGGCCTCCACTGTCTCTTGCACGGGCCAGTTTCGGCTGCTTCACATTTGGATTTTGGTGTCGTCAATCTGCATTCCGGGGGCATCAAATGTTCAACCACTGAACCTGGTGCAAAGAAAATCGATCAACAAAGAAAAGACCTAGTATGACGTAGTATGATGCACCCAGACACCACCTGTGTGGGGTGGTTTCAGGGGCCAATTGATCAGCATCTCCATGCAGTCCATGCGACAGGTCGTGTTTGGGACGGAGACCATCAGCTTCTTTGGGGTTCTGAAGAGCGGTGCCTCTCATCCACACGCCTCATCCTTCAGGTGGGCCACATGCCGGTCTTGCGGATCTTGGGGGTCGCCAGCAACCGCCTGGAGGCCAAGGGAACTGCCCAAGTATGGGAAGAGCCTATAGTATAGGTTGATTCATTGAATCATACAACTCCCAGATTACCCCCATATAGTCAATTCATGCTTGTTGTAGACAGGAAATGGAGTTTTCTTTGACAACAGCCTTGACAGAAGGTTTCTGTAAACTTGTTTGGCATGAGTGAGTTCAGCAACTGATTGAGTCCGGTGCTCCTAGCTGTCCTAGCTCCTAAGTTTGCAAACAGCTGGGCTCGTAGACATTTGGAGGGTCTTCGCCATAACTTGCAGTGAGCGGGCCACTGTACCAAACTGCTTACCCAGATGTGCTGTACCATGGAGTGGTAGGAGGCTTGCGAGGGGTAGGCACGACCACCTTCCATGTGCCACATCTCCTCCAACTGATCAGATGGTGACGAGATCACTCTCCAGCGGTGCGTGCGAACACATCACCGCAACATGGGGCCCAAGCTGCTTGTACCAACAGTCAGTGTACTGGCCGCTCTTTGGTCACTTCGGAGCTCAAGACCCTTGGCTTCGGAGCATTGTAGACCTATAGAGCTCGGCCCCGAGAGACCACGAGAGCGAACCCACTGACCGCCAGAGCGAAGACTTTTGGAACCCTTACAGTATTTTGGACAACTAACTTGTGATCAGAAAGCACCTACTGTACTGGAGGGTCCTGGTATGTTTGACTCAACAAATGGCTCACAAGAATCACAGCCCACCTCCACACTACCAGCCAACAACAGGTTCTTTCAACGTGTTTTTGGATCTGAACACATGGAATTGCACAACCCATGGCTGGAATTGTTGGTTTCAAGTTCAAGCATTATCATGTCCAAAAGTTTGGGAACGTTCCTTGACCTCTTCAGATCCCGAGTGAGCTTCTTGACCAAATGGAGCCGTCGGATGCCCAAAGCATCCCCGACGTCCTCCGGCGCTTGAAGACCTTGGCCTGGCCGGACGGCGGCGACCGGGTGGATGCCTCGCGCTTGTTCTACGCGCTCTACGCGCGGGCGACGTCGGTCGCAGAGGGACATGGGATGCGGCGTGCCGGTGAAGATCGAGGGCGGGGTGACCAAGTGACCTCAAACCGGGAGATCAATGAAAGGATCACTTAAAATAGGTTAATATGGCCATCTATGGATGTGGCATGTGGAAGATCCGGCATGTTCTTCGTTTGAAATCTCAGATTTAGCATGGTCAGAATTTAGCAATATGGAAAACAATGTGTGGAAAACACACTTTCTGCTGGGTGAGGCAGTCTCGTACTTCCGGAAATGTTTTCAGCAATCACCAGAGGATCGCAGAGTTTTTGTTTAATTAATATATTACAATATACTTATTGTACCTAGCGGAGCCAAGAACAAAGGCACCTTTACCCATGATAGGCAGAACTTTCTGCCCAAGAAGAGGTTCTAGGTATTATTGTACATATGTATATATAATATAAGTCATATATCATATCTCCCTCTCTCAGTAATTCTCTCTCTTTTTGCTGCTGTTGCTGTACTTCTAGCAACTTCAGTTTAGTCATTTTGTGATCATGTCATGAAATGTGTCCGTTCTATTTGCTGAGAAGGTGTTTTCTGGTCTTCTTAGAGAGCCTGAACTTGTATATAGGAGGGGATGGAATTAATTTTATAACTTACATTGATTGTATTCTTAGGTTTCTCGAGCAAATTGCAGGCACAACTTGGTATGCAAGTAGTACTCCAGAGCTTTTGTTTAATTGTTTAAGGTTCTCAAATTAGTGTGGTCCATTTGCTGGCCCGCCGCTGGCCGCTGCCCAGGTGACGCAACTGATCAAGAGCTTCGTAGAGGAAAACAAATTTGGTGATCCTTGACACGTGAGATGCTTCAGAAGACATGTTGCTTCAGGCATACCATCCCTGCTTCACTGGCGGATCTGTAGGATAATTCGATTTCCCAGGGTTGGTGCCGGCGGCAGTTGACAACCGGTCCATGCATGGTATCAGTGAGTTGGGCTAGGTATATCCCTAGTAGCTTTTGCCCACATACAGGGAAAAGCTTGCTGTTGTACACCGACATGCTTGGGCAGGTGTGGCAAGAAAAGGTGTCACACACAAACTTGATTTTGGCCTTGCAGCTGAAGCCGCCCAAATGCCAGGTAAAATTCCGGAGGACATCCTTTCAGAGTTGAATGACTCTGTCAGCTCATTGCCTCTAACTAAAAAGACACAAGAAGCAGGTAATGCTCGTCCTGGTTGTAACTAGCCTTTTCCAAACAGCCTATGTGAGCCGAGATTGTGTGGACCAAATGGGAGATTCAGTGCCGCCAACTCGGTGGTTGTCCTCTCGATCGGATCGCGAGTTGTCCATGGTCTTGACACCGAGATCGGATCTGATTGGTGCGAGATGGTGCGAGGAAGGATCTGCTGAAGAAACTGAAAGTGAAGGCCGTCCACCTGTGGTCATTTCTGTTTCACACGGCTTGGACCCAGTGCTGCTCCTCACACAGTCTTGACCAGACTGCGTTCTTCAGCCCTACACCCGAAAGCCAAAGACAACCAGCCCAAGGAACATACGGGGCCCCCATTCACCAAACAATACCAAACTAGCTAATTGCAGCGTATGGTTTCCTCAACTGACCAGCAGCAGTTCGATTTCCAAAGTGAGTGTCCTGTGTTTCCTCTTCTTGGGATGACCACCCATGGCACCATCGGATATTGCACATCACGGCAGTGGAAAACCTGTTTGTAGAGGAACATGGTCATCCGAAACGGGCCATTGTTCCAGTTCCATGATTGAGACACAGACTCCGTAGTAAATTGGATGGTCCATGGATGGACCACCGATTTCACCGAGCGCTAAGGATTCCAAGCTCCTTGAGGCCGTGGACGTCGAATTCGCCAACTTGCTCTTCGAGCAGATCAGATGCTCAGATGGTGCGAAGAGGACCGATGCTTTCGCCCGACCGCCGATGAAACGGTAGGGGAAAACCAAAGCAGCAGCGCTAATCGGCCTGTTAATTGTGTGTGGTGTGTTTTGCTTTTCTCTACAGGTCATGGCGCCAGTTGTTCCTTTACAACTCTCTTATGTGACATGACGTTCTGAGGGTTTGCTTTACCCACAGTTGATCCGAATCCACAGACAATTGTAGCGGCACAGGCTGTGGCCATGCTAAGGCTAAGCAAGGTTTATTTGTTGCCTCCCCTGAGAAATCACTGAAGTGGCAAATCGCCTGTTTGTGGAGGCCATTATCCACTTGGGATCAATGATTATTGCAGGCATTTGGCATGTTTCCCCAGGGCTGTGTCACCCGACAAATCCTAACAACCAATTACAAGTCTAAAAAACCATGGGCATGATAATTGATTGTGTTTTGCCAAATGGTAGAATGGACATCTTTCACGGTAGAGAGTCCGCTTGAACAGTTCGAGGCTGCGTCTTTCCTGACTGGTGACCCAGAACCACTCCATACACTGCGGATGGGTTCGGAGGATATGGGTTGTGTGATTTCATATTGTTTCTCGATCACTGTGATTCTGTAGTATCGATCAGAGCTTCCACCGTAAGAGGCAGTTTATTGAATTCATGAGGCTGTTGTTGATTGAGTTCAGGACCTGGTTCAGATGTTGACATGTTTTCGAACGACCTGGTCTTGCTTGTCTAAGGAAGACATCGATCAGGCGAAAGCATCACCAAATGTTGGCAGTTCTTCTTTGCTGCGCCACTGGGCGGAAGTTCAGAAACCGGGCGGGCGGGAAGTTCCCTCGTGAAGAACTCGGACACGCCGGGGGAGGGTTCCAGGCGGCGGAACTGGGGCATGTGGACCATCTCCGACCTCAGAAGGCACGACCCTCCGGAAGCAAAGTACGTACTTGGAGCCCTAGGGCATCTTAGGGCCCCAGGGTGTAGGAAGCTCTACTGGAATTGAAGATGGAACCCACATGATTGTACCGGAGCAAGGAAAAACTGTGACACCCACCAGAACTGGGCGCCGGCGGCCTTAAAGCCAAGACGGTTTGGGCAATCCACTTTGTGTTGCCGAAGGAGGAACAGCAAACAGCTCACTGCTGCTCAGCATATGCTGCTCGGAATGGGGCCCCACATCCTACATGATTTGCCGTTGGCCATCTACCGTGTGGTGCCTGAGAAGGATTTGGATCGTTTTCAGGAGGACCCTGAAGTTGGCGTCAATTTTGATGAGCATAACTGCAGCATGACACTCCCTGAAATATTGCTGTGGAAGTAGATGGCATGGCCCCGAATTCGGATGACCATTTTCCGAATACCAAACCCGTGGTTTTCACTCCACTTAACCGGTGTGTACTTGATGTGGCATCCCTTCAATGTAAGGAAGGCAATGCACTCCTTGAGGTCGAAGGTTACCCACTCCTGGTGATTTGGAACAAACAGTGGTCGTTTGGTCAAGTGAGGCCGTGCCATGTGCGACCACTTCTGATGACAATAGAAAGTCCAGCTGCCTAGCCTGTACCGGGAGGAAGTACAAGTGCATGCCTTTGCATACAAAATGCGCTGCCACGGATGAACCACTTTGGGCATGAGCCAATTTGGAAAACATGCATACAAAATCACATGCATTGTTTGCTTTAGCTGCCTAGCCATGGTGATTTTCAGGGAAACCATTCGAATCCTTTCACGGTCCGAAGATCGCAGGATTACCAGCGGGTCAACGAGGTGATGCGCCAATGTTTGGAAGAGACCCAGGCTTTGATTGGCGCCTCGGTGGTTTTTCCAGTCTCGCCCACCGCTCTTTGCCTGACTCAATTGACAAACCAATGCTTGGAAGATGTTAGAAGAACAACATGTAACTGTGATCCTATATAAATGCATGATAATGACGTGCATTCAATCCATTCTCTACTCTCCACACCATTCTTCTACCAACTTGACACATCCTCGCCAGAATTTGGTTTTTGGAACGTCCCGGATTTTTTGCATACATTTTGGATGCTCATGTCCCACTGCATCCGAGTTCTCAGGAAATTTTGGATGGACACTCGTAGTTAGTACTCGTTTGAGTGTTGGCCTCGGACGCCTTTTTTCCCTTCGGTTCCTCTTCGCAGTAGTATGGAATCTGCTGGCGGATCGTGAGGCACCAGAAGCTGTGGTATGCGTTTTGTGGACTGGTTCTTTTGCCAGGCAGACGCGCCTCGGATGAAGAGAGCAAAGCAGAGCTCACCGCCTCAGCCCAATGGTCATGAGGTGTGGGAGGTCGCCCTGAAAAAGACCGAACACCGTCGCCGCAGTCGAACAGAAGGAACACGGATGAAAAGAGTTCTTGGAGAATCCAATGTGACTCTTGGAGGTCGCCTTAAGGCGTGGTTTGCCACACTTCTACATCTATACGTAAAACTGTAAAACTTTCAATATGTTTTGGTCTTAAATTAATGTACCTAAGGTATTTAAGGCAGATACCTCACAGTCTAGGTGGTATCCTTACGTTCGTTTAGTACAGGTTTCCCTTATTCAAATACCTCACAGTTTTCAACCAACAGTTCACCTTGCTCCACCTTGATGACTCCCCAAGGAGGCGGTGGCCTTAACCGTGCTGGGCGCCCTGCGCGACCGCGCGATCGCGCGGGCGCGGCAGCTGCACCAAGCGGAGGAGTTCCAGCAGGTGGCGGAGGACGAGAAGATGGGGATGGGATGGCGGGGGATGGGAAGATTTGAGACACAGCTCGTTCCTCGTCGTTCCTCTGTTTGTCAGTTGCAACTACCTGGAAGGAGCATCCACATATCCAGGTTTCGGGGTGTCCAGACATAGCGGAGGTTCTTGATTCCTGATTTTTTTGGGGGGTTCATCCTGTGTGCAACAGGATGAGACCATGGTTGGTTGGGTAGTTTACCACCCCTGCAGGGAAGATCAAATCATGGGGACCCTAGAGTCGATCTGTTGGTGCAGTGTCCACCCTGGTGGTGCGGTGTGCCATCCATGTTTATCCGACATGTTTTGGGAATTGTGGGACATATTGCAGTGGTTTGAGAGTAGATGGCACACACCCCAAGATGTCTTTGAGATGGGGGTCTGAGATCTGTATAAACATCCATTTTGGATTGTGCCATCTACTCTCAATCCACTATATTAGATACCAGGACCCTCCAACAGGTCACCACCTGCGACTTTTAAGTCTACAAAGGCCTCCAGAGGAGACCTGTTGGAGGGTGCTGGTAAAGCATATATAATATATAGCTTGAATGAAGTGACCACATTTTTCTCACCTGCACCTCTTTGCAGAGGCAGCCTAGGCAGCCCACATGTGCAACAGGTAGCTCGCAAGCTCGTCTCATGCTACACCTTTTGGCTTCGACCGCATGTCTTGGCAGCGAACCAAGAGGCTGAAGTGCTAACCAGCATCAGCTGCCATCATGTACCATTAATTCATCTAGACGGACCGATGGACCTGCCCCCCACACATGACTATCACATCCGCCCTTCAAATCATGATGCTAGCTTCATGCGCGCATGGGTCCCAGACAGGTTTTCATTGGGACAAGTTCCTGAGAATTGCTGCTAGAGTAACTGCTACTAGTAACAAAGGGCATTGCTACGAACGGAGCAAGGACGCGTAACAAGAAGCTACGAACGAAACAAAGAGTGTTACGCGTCCTTGCTCTTCTCCCGCGGACGCCTGAAGAGGGGAGGGGAGCTGAGAGACACGTGCGAAGTCCAGCTGAGGAGTTGGATGCCGAAGCCCTGGAATTTAGCCAGCTGATTGTAGCCCCGGCGAGCTCCTGTGTACTGTGCATCTGGGTGCATAAAGGCTTCGAAGGTCTGGTGCGAACGTTCTAGTTCTAGCATGTTCTAGCTGCTAGTCATATAAAGGTGCCAACCACTGGTTGGTGGAGCTAGCAACCTACATGACGCAAAGCAGTGCATTTGTTCTTTTTTGGGGGGGTCACGGTTGTTGGTACTCGGACACACGGTCGTTGTGTTGTTGCCTTTGCGAAGCGAAGACTCAGGTATGGTTGGAGACGCCAACGAGGACTACTTCTTGTTCTTAATTCAGCAGCTGCTCTCGAAAGAATCCTAGCGACGGAGAAAAAAAAGAAAACAGCACTGAGTCTCAAGTGGTCCTTTCTGCACGTGCGCTGGGCGGGGTGTGCTGAAAGGTGGCCTGAGACCGTCCTACGCCACCTTAGAATGAATTAGACATGTGGTGAGAGCTACTGTTGATCGAGAAAAAAACACCTCCCCATACCTTGCTGGTCAATAACATTTGTTGGCCAACAGTTCAACAAGAGAGTCTCCACCCTACAAGTCCAGTTTGACCCAGTAAAACCTGGTCTTTTGCCTCCTCAAGTCTTGGTTTTGTATGACCATCTCCAGAAATTTCATGAGGTCAAACTGACTGGTAGGTCTATGCGAAAGAATCCAAGCCAAACATGTGAAATCACTGTTCCAGTCGCCTTGAGCGACTCGCCGTCCGGCTCCTTTCCGCCCAGGTCTGCGGTCATTGCCCCACGCCCTCGCAGAGAGCCGAGGCGCGGCGCTTGGCTGAGCTCAGCCCAGACCGACCTTGTCCCTACCAGCACCGACGGCCAACAGGTCACCAATTGAAACCTGTTAGGGTCCCAACCCTCCATTTCGGAGACCTGTTGGTTTCGGTGCTGGTATAGGGTTCCTGGCCTTATTTCCGTGAGCTTTGGTGGGACTCGTGTGGCGGCCTCAGTGGGGTCTAACCACCGGACCTGAGGATATGGGCAGATATAGGCCTATAGGCCCGGATTGTGGTGATTTGGTGATGGCCATTTCATATGAGCAGATATCCTCTAACACATGTTGGATGACATATAGTGACTTGTTCACTGAGCGGTTCTTGACCTCGTATGCAAAATATGTGTTTTTTTGTTGTTTTTATGCTTCGTTATTCATAATGAGTATCTAGTAACTGTCACTGCAAAGTGAGGTGCCCAAGGTTTCTTTAAACTGTGGAAGCTTGAGTAGGAACCTTCTGACGTGTACAGGCGTAGGTCACTTCGGAACCCCTGGTCCCTTCATTGCTTTCAGACCGGAAGTAGGTCATGTGCAGAAAACACAGACATCACACACACCTTTTGCGTTCGGATGTCCGAATCCATCCGAATCCCCAACTCCGCAGAATTGGAGTGGCTGTTGGCCTATGAGCAGCTTGGCAGTTGTGTTTCGACTCACATGACCTGAAGGGTGTGGCCTTATGGGTTGATCTTCCAAATAACAATATATCCCTTTACGGGCCGCTACATTTTCTTGGGATTCACAAAAGGGAAGACGGCTGTTGATACACGCACATGCAGGTGTTACTTTTAGAACTTTATTATAAGTACGTATGTGTTCCTATGTCTGGATGAAGAATGCTCTCTCTTCCCCCTTATTTTCTTAAAACTGTTTGGGGGTTGTATTTGTTCACTGACAGTACCATTAAAGGAGGCTCACTCTATCGGCTTAGGTGCACACCCACATGCTATGGAACTATGGAAGCCCTGGTAACTCAACTCTGGAACTCTTCCGAACGCCACCTGTGCCACCCGAACATGAGGAATCAGCTGGAAGAGCTTCCACCCTTCGGGCCTCGCTGGAGCCTCAGACCGAGGCCGAGGCCGAGCCCGGAGGTCCGAGCGCTCCGGAGCCCGTGGGAACGACAGCGGAACCACGGGCGGGCGTGGGGCGGGACGGCCACGCCGGCCGCCGGCCGAGGGAACTGGCGCCTCACGCGGCTGCTGTTGGAGTCCAACCCCTTGCGCCCAGTGGCGGTGCAAAGCTTGGTGTCCGACCTCAGCAGGACGGAGAACGGGCGGGGGGAGAAGGGGGGAGGAAGGGGATTGATCAATTGAGGGAGGGAGGTCCGGCGATGTTTGCAAGTCTTAGTTGGCCACATGGATGTGTTCTGGAAGTTTGAAGCTGTTCCGACAGCTTCCATGTGCTTCTTCTTTTGGAACACGAGCTTTTTCTGAAACACTGCCACTCGCACAAAACACAAAGGTTCCATAAGACTCTCTAAGCCTCCTTACACCCCGCGGGTGTTAATGACGTTGCCAAGGGGCTTTGGGGACACAGTTGTTTGTTGGTGTCCCTCTTCTTGCAGCAACTCCCCTCCACATGCGTGTAGAGCCGAGGAGCTACATCAAAACACTGGGCCTTGACAGCAACCAAGCAACTTGGCTGACAGGCGTTTCGTCGCCAGCACTATCTTCAGGCAAAATCGTTATGTGGGTTCTGTTGAGAAGATCTTTGTCAACCGGCTTTGGACAGCTGCAAGAGTCAAGAGTGTGCCAATGAGACCTAGTTGCATAACGGGGTACTCTACTTCAGTCACATGATGCTGGCCTGCAAATTTGTCAACTGGCACTTGATTCGGCAGCTTGTTGAGGGCCTCCATCAATGTAGAGAAGTCCACCATCAATGTCAAAGATGCGGGGGTTGATATTGGGCAGATTGCACCAGATCTCGTTCGATGGTGATGCACACCACCACCTCTTTGTCAAAACATGTTTAAGCAAACGGCGTTGGTGTGGACATGCTTTCAGTGAGTCTCTACTTCACATTGGAAGCACAGTTCAACGGTTCAACCATCATAATATATCATAATTAATATGTAGCTGTTTTGTGTTTTTCTTTGTTTACCGGCACAGGTCTTGTCATTGACGATGGACATTGATAGACCTTGAAGGCAACGAGAACACTGGTGTCACTGGTGTTCTCTCTGCACCAATGGCTCCGGACAGCCCCCAAAGTGCCTCCACTGGAGCTCAGGTAGCAGTGCCAGAGCTTCCAGCGGGGACACCTAGTGGGAAGATGGTGCTGGCCTTTTTGGGGTTGACCTGGCGATTCACTAAGAGAAGGCATTAACAAAACGCCTCAGATGAGTTCATCGACCCTTGCGGAGGTATATATAGATTTGCCCTAGGGATCCAAGTACCTTCTCAGAGGGTACTTGGAGACACTGTCATCAGTACTGTCATCTATGTTTGGAGGGTCCAAGTACCTTCTGAGAAGGTACTTGGATCCCTAGGGTTGGTATGATTTGGTGGAAGAATATCACACACCAAACAAATAGCTTGATGTCCAAAACAACTATGTATTTGATTAATTTAAATTGGTTTTATTTCAGTTGATTTCATTGATCTCTTCGAGATCTTTCTCCGGAAACCCTGTCACATCCGTCTCTCGACGGCCTCAGCGGTTGGTTACGGGGTCAGGGCATCAGAGCGCCAGGGTGTCCTATTTACAGAGTCAGTCAACAAGGCCACTGGGCCCTGCTCATAGGATAGACCCTGGTCACGGCAATACGTCTAGACCTTGTACAAGCAATAGCGCGTTGCGGCATGGCCCATGTTAGGCGTCAGCCAAGGCAGCCATGGCATATATACCGTATCAGACAATGGCAGCCACAGCTTCCAAGGGCCGTTTCGAGGATCCAGGTCAACCCGGTCGCTGAGAGGATTTTCAGAAGCAGAACGGCAGAGCTAACAGCAGAGCTTGGAGTCCCTTTTGCGATCCTTTTGTTGGAACATCTTGTGGGGAAGATCCTGAGTATGGAGCATGGCTTGGTGGCCCAAGAGGAACAACATGTTGACCTATGTTTCTCTTGGCGCCTAAGTTGGAGCGTATATATATAGGAGCGTCCTTTCCAAATCGTTTCGGACCAGAGGAGTTTGATGGTGTCAGAGCAAGAGATTTCAGGCGCGCGTTTGTCGGCAGGCACAGCCATGGAGTTCTGGCTGATGTTTTCCCCCCATGTTGTGCAAGCATGTTGTGCTGAGTTGCAAGTTCGCCCCACGAATGTGCGATGAACATCATGAACTCTGGACGATCTTGGACAGGGTTAAGTTGACGTGCAGGAACTGAGTTACGGAACCTTTGTTTGGGTTTTGGGATGTCTTGGATCACCAGCCCAACCCAAGCAGCCCAACATCACCACCGCACATCATCCACTGGCTGCCACCGGCCTTCATCACATGACATCGGACCGCTCGGCCGGACGGTCCCAGGATCCCTTGCCAGCGGCCGTGTCCGTGGGAACTGCCCCTCGGACTACAGCGAGTCGGGGTGTGATCGTGCTATCTCGTGCTCAGTGCCGGGGGTGAAACCGGCAGTTCTGGAGGGTGGAGGTGGACAGAAGGACAGTTCAGCATAACTTGCGGAGTGAAGAATTCAGCATCACTTGCCGGAAATGTGACCCCTCGACACGACAAATGCTGAAACGACCCACTGATTTTTGAAGGTAGTGAGTGCTTGGCTAGGCAACGGGAGTTTGGAAGCGGAATTGGTCGCTACAGATGAGAAGAGAGCGAATAGCGCCAAGTGAATTGACCCAACGACTAAGACCCTGCCATTTCCAATGAACAAATCTCAGAAGCAACAAACTGATACAAACTGAGAATCAGATTGAGTCACTGAGGAAGTCCGCATTATTGAAGCATACATGTTCCATCATGTTCCCAACCCACGAAGTCCTGGGTGGCTGAGTTTTGGGATCGTCATTGTCTATATCATCCTGAATCCTTGTTATTTCCACTGCCATGAAATGGATGTGATGTAACAAGTCACTTTGAGATGAACCCCTCCAGTTCTGTTTGTCAAACTGACCCGTCACCCCTTTTCAGGTGATTCCCATCAGTGGCCAAAGCCAATTGAGCTTGAAGCTCACCAAAGCATCCCGCTTGAGAAGGACAGAGCGAATGCAGCTAGCACGCAAGCTGGATGAATCTGAACGAAGCTATTCGTGAGCAGCGGCTTGAAGCACGTTTCTTCAGCGGCTTGGGACATTGTTTCGGTGTTTGATTCACAAGTTGGTGGTGACATCCGCAGAGTTTGGGTTCTATAGTTGGCTGATGTTGGCCTATACCATTTTATGAGGGGACAGCATGGAACCTCCCTCTAAAACGTCATTTTACTGCATTCTGAACATCGCGTTGATCAACTGTTGATCAACTGATTTTTCGGAACTTACTGCACCATGTTGTTCGGGCCACCTCAGAGATCACATCATTTCAATTTGCTGACTCATTTGTGTCTCAGAATTGGTATAAGGGAAAATCCATGAAAATCCACAGTAAACGAGTTTCAGGCCATGTTTTTGGCCTTTAAACGCCTTTGAAATTAAAAGAAGTTGCCCCCTTCAGGTACTTTGGTCAGACCATTCTCTTCAGTGTTTGGTCAGACCATGCCTTCGCCAGGAGTACCGACCGTGCGGAGAGTGACCACCCCGAGCTGCTGATCGTGGCCTTTGCGGCATCGCAGGAGAGGACTCCGTCGAATTCGACGGATCCGTTCGGTTCGCGGCCGTGCCTCGGAGCCCCGTTCGAGTCGCGAAGCTTGTTTCGTTTTTGGACGTCTCCGGTCGGACGGCCGAGTCGAGGCTCCAGATGGACGAGAGGTTGGGGTTTGTAGTTGGCATGTGTCTTTTTATATGATACAAAGTTGACAATGTGCACATGGTTGGTGGATGTTGGTGGGCTGCAGATGTTGTTTATATAATTTTATATACTTTTTTCGTTAAGACGTTGGCTCTTAGGGGGAGGAACTCAGCCAGTTCAAGATTGATTTAGCCTATACCTATAACCTCTTCTTGGGCAGAAATTTCTGCCTATTATGGGTAAAGGCGACTTTGCTCGTGCTTAGGCGTTCTTGCCCCCTGTAGGCCTTCTTGCCCCCTTTGGGCGTTCTTGTCCTTTTGGAATAGATGAGGATCCACCCACCACTGATTCCAGGAACTTTCATAGTGAGGTACATTTGTTTGTCAGGAATTCACTTAATGTTTCTCTTGTGATATTTTTTGTATGTTTTTAGTTTTTCAATGTTTTGATTCATTGCTTTAATATCTTTTTGCTTCCCGTCACTTAGGCGTTCTTACCCGTTACTTGGGCGTTCTTGCCCGTTACTTAGGCGTTCTTGCCCGTTCCCCCCTCACAACAATCAGTAGTTGGGCGGACAACGGAATGGTAGCCTTTTGGGGGAAGTGAGCGACATGAGTTTCAATAACTTTAGACTGGGGATTAGCGTCAAGTGGCAGGCGTTTGTTTTCTCAATTTTGTTCATTCAAATTGTGGCTCTGCCTCCTGCATGTAAGAATGCATGTGATTGTGCCTTGGCGTTTTTGACCCTCGAGGCTGCAGCTTAGGCGTTCTTTGCAAAAACGGGCTGAATTTTCTGCCTAAATGGCGTTGGGCGGAAATTATTGCCTAACGAGGTTCTAGGTATATGCATACTGGAAGTTTCCTGACTTCACAAGTGGCCATTGGCAGACTTGGGATTGAGTTCGCCAGCGGTTGCTAAACATAGCTTAACTGAAGAACCACGCCACACATTTGAGACACTCCCCCCAAACAAGCAGTTCACGGAACAAGAAGTGCTTGGTTCCAGCTCATTTCCCCGGTTCCGTTAGGGTTTCGGCTTGTGGTTCTTCACTTGCGGCTCCCCATGAGTTACTCTCCATGCGGCTCCCCATGTGGCCGTCCTCAGGGCGAGCCGGAGTGGTTGGGATTCCTACGGCGGCTATATGAAGTTGGGGAGGCCGCGGAGTGATCAGGGCCGGAAGCGTTCTCTTTAAAAGGTGTCAGTGGTCTGTGACGCTAAGCCATGTCATTCATTGGATGAGACCATGTTGAAACATTGCTTTTGCTTTGTGTCTTGGCCGATTCAGATAGGCCTTTGGTTGGGCTGAATTTGGGTGTTTCACTGTAGGCAGTGTATGGCCAGAGGCTGGGGAAGTCTTGAGGTTTTGGGCCACATGTAGTCATCCAGCTGGTACTTGGATGCTCATGGACTCAGAAGAAGGGAGTGGCTGTACTACCCAGCCAGTGCTTCAACTAGAGGTCATGTTTTGGGCGAAGATGGACGGGCCGTGATGGAATGAAGAATTGATGAAGGATCAATGTGCACTGCACAAGAAGAGCAGGCCACGTTCATAGAGAAGAGGAATCCAAACTGGTCAAGAGTGTCATTATTTAATCGCATGTTTTTGCTATTTGGGCCTCAACATTTTGATCACTCACTAAAGCCTTGACACACAAGGATGACCGGTGATATGTTTGCCACACATGAGCACCATGAATCATGAAGGCAATCTTCGTGTTTGAAGCCCACATTGTTTCACTTTGTTCAGTCAAGTTGAGCCCATCCTCACACGAGTGCTCCCCTTTTTGCTCCGATCTAGCTTGCCCCATCTTCGATCTACAGGAGATTTTGCAGGAGGGCGATGTTCTATGCCAGACGCTTCCAACCAGATGCCCAACGAAGTGATAGATGCGTAGGTGTGAAGAGCTCGAGCAAGATGACAGCCTAGGACCCCGAAGAGCTCCAGCTGATGCTCCAGATGTCGCCTGGCAGGTGAAGCCTTGTTGCCACAGATCCTCCCTGGACTTCGCGGAGGCCGAGTTGCATGTCAGATGCAGTCGTCGGCCGAGAAGCATACCTGGCATACCTTGGATCCTCCCTCAGCGACTGGGGTCGTTCTTTGCGGCGTTTTCATCCAGCGGACCTGGGGTGGATTCTTGAAACGCGCGGAGGTCTCACAGCATCACCCTTGAAGGTAAGCGCATCACGAAGAACACCATGTGAAGCTGTTCCCTGGTGTTCCCTCTCTCCTTCACTATGCATGAACCTTGTTGGGTGTGGGTAAGAACTTCAATCGTTCCCAAAGAAAAGATGCTTTGCCAGAGTGCTGTGCAGAAGTCAACCTCTCTATACACCCAACACCGGCACTTCTGAATGTTTGGCTTTTCAGAGGCTCGCAAGCTCGGCGGTTTTTTGGGTGGCTCCACCCTCGATGGTGCACCCCAGGCTCCCAGGATCGAGTCTCGGTTCTTCGCGTCATGTCGTTCATGTCGTTCCGCACACACACTCCCCCTCGGCCGGTCGAATTGCACGTAATCATGTGTGCAGGAACGAACTCAGTTGGTCAGTTCTTTTTTGCTCGGAAATCATTCAACATCCATCAGATTGAAGTTGATCAGCTCCATGCATCCACGCAACCCCTTTCCGGAACGTCCGCAAACCACAGCGGCACCTTCACGCAGGAGGCCGACTTCGACGCTCGGATGGCCAGGCTGGAGCGACGCGACCGGTGGTTGGCTGGAGCCGACCAAGTCGGAAAGTCGGTCAACGGATCTGGAAGATCTTCTATCCTAGGGCTCCAGTATGCTCCAGTCGTACCTTCGTTTCGAAGGTGGGACTGGGGCGGGTGCCAGAAGGGTCCAGTCATACCGTCTGAGGTACGACTGGAGGCTACTCTTGAATCTTGTGTCTTAATAAACCCCCCGCGTAGAGGATCAACAGTAGAAGGATGAAGACTCTTCCTGCAGGTCTATGGTTTAGAGGTAGAATAATGATGAATTCCTTGATTCATAAACCCCCCCATATGAAGAGGATGTTCCACTTCAAATGGTGGGGGTTATGAATCAAGAGTCTACAATTATGATGAATTCCTTGAATAATTTGTTGATAACAAAACACCTTGATCCCTTATATATTCTATCTATAGTTGGATTGTCGAACCCTCTTCTTCCAGGTGGGTGCTGTAATTTTTAAAATATTCGTCAACATTCTTTGTGACATTTTATCACTCAAGGATGTGAATCGCCCTCTGGCTCCTTTTGACCTTTTTTTTGCGGTATGCAGCCGTTGGGAGATCCATGGCACACTTGCGGAAGCATCGCCGGCTCTCCACTTCCAAAAGGGCATGGTTGTATAGACCCGGATGTTATCTGGAGCGTATATCCCTCAAGTGTGGAGCTCTTCGGGAGGTCCGGGGTGCCTCGCTTGGGCAGAAGGCACTCGCGGGCCGCGCACCGCGCCAGGCTTTGGACTCATTGCACTCAGGAGGCTTCGACCGAAGCACCGCCGGAGGACAGACGGATTGGGCGAAGCGGCGCGGCGTGCGGACTGAACCAGGAGAAGAGCACGTGAAAAATGCACGTGAAAATGAATGTGTTGAAGTTAGGAACGTATATTATACATATTATATTTAAACAAAAGGAACTAAAGACCTCAAGCGTTCTAAAGCGTACGAGCACATACGAGCACATGGACTACCGGACGTTCTCCACATGGGAATGTCTCCGAAATCACGTGGATTCCAGGTCGCATCAATCATAGGAAGTGATGAACCCGTTCGAATTGCCGGCCACTTTGTTCTCACACAGGGGATGTTGCTTCACCATCATAGGGAGGCAAAGGAAAAATGGGGCGGATTGCCGGCCATCATACGGAGGTCTTCCGCACTTTGGACTCAACCCAGGAGGCCAAATCTACCAAAAATACACTCCCTATATAGAACTAACATGGAAGTGGATGGCACCACCTGCATGTTTCTAGTGGATTTCATGGTCTTCCTTTCAGGGTCAGGCCATCCACGTAACCATGTGGTCGTTCCAGGGACCTCCATCAACCACCGCATCGTCCGCCGCGAGTTCCGTGGTCGCGGGCGCTAGGAGACACCGGCCCTTCCGCTGGGCGACTTCGATGTGTCGCGCGGCTGCGGGGGGGTGGAGCTGGTAGAAGACCCCTCCACCTCAGACACTCCATGTGCCCGGAATCCGCCTCAATAGTGCCCGACCTGGAGGTCAAACGCCCCAACTGATAGATAACTGAGTTAGGTGCCACTGCCATATAGGTGTCAGGAGTGGTGTCAGTGTGATGTGCTCTCACCCATCATCTTGGAATTGGGAGCTGTCGCCAAGGGCGGGTGGGCGTGTACCAACTCGACCTTTAAGCTGAGTTGTGTAAGTATACACAACTCGCATGGATCTCGTCTTCGTTTGGGATTTGAAACGGTTTTGATTACGATTATATACGTTTGAGAAAAACATGTGTCCTTGACCTTTCGTGCAAGGCATGTGCTTCGCTATTTCGAGAGTTGGATTGACTATCAATGGGAGCCAAAATGAACAGTTCCACAAATCACCAAGCCCAAAGCCTTGGTGAATTCCTGCTGGATATATGCCCCACCCTGACCCAAACAAAATCATACAAAATCTCTTAAAAACAAAACACAACAAGTTCCACACATCTCAAGGATCTCATCCACTCCATCCACTTCATCCCAGGGTCTCCCGAACGCGCCCGCCTTCCCGCGCCCCGCTTGCTTCGAGGCTCACGGTGGTGGACCATCGCATGCGTTGGTACGCCGAGGATCGCCGCGCGGCCGCAGTAGGTCCCACCCCGTTCGAGGCCGGAGAGTGCACTACGTAATGGTGAGCGAGCGAGCGAAACCGTCCAAGAGCAAGCAGCGACAGCTTAGCAGCATGTAGCAGCGATATAGAGGTGTTTTCACGAAGAGGATTTGGTTCTTGGCGCTTTGTTTGCGAAGAGGATGCAACCTGGGCGACCTGGTCGTCGCAACAAACCTCCCGGTCGAGGTTGTACAACCTCGTTGGTCATGCAGGTGGTTTTAGCCGTCGGAGCCGTCATGTCCAGCGCCTTTGAAGATCCATTTCGAGCACTACGAGCACTCGGATTGAGTTTTGATGGTCGTGTTTGTGTTATTTTCCCTCATGATCCTCATGGGTGGCTGTTGACTCAGACAAGAGTGTGGATGTTGGCGATGGCGATGTCGCTGCTTTTTGTTCATGACATTTCATGATCTTTGATCCATGCTCAGCTTGGGAGAGGAACTCCAATCTTTGAGCAGTCCTGAGCTGACGCTTAAAGTGGTTCAAAGTTCGGGATCAACCGATACCTGCTACCAGGACGTTTGACATGTGCTTTGCTACGGGTGATTCTTGGCAGAAACACCACGAGCAAAACACCACCCGTGCGGGTTACATTGATGGCTTTGATGGTTTGCTGAGGTGGCGCTTTGCAACAGGTTTTGAAGACTTTGCGACCCAAGTACCAGAAGATGATGTGCGTGCTTTGGCCTGAAATTGCGCGCTGGGGCAGCACAGTCAGCGTGGGACTGCCAACAACTTGGGGAAAGACATGCATGTGTGGGGACGTTTCTTTTGTTGCCGCTAAAGTGGCAGCTGCGATGGTTGTTGTTCAGGTGGCTTTGGATGTTCAAAGTTCCAATCCTGCCAGTCCTGTGGTGTTTGAGGACGGGATGGGACAGACCTGTCATCAAGGTGGGTGCCTCTATGGGGGGCTTCGGTGCCCTGCTGCACGGTGGTTTGGTGGCGGATGCCGTGGTGGCGTTCAACCCCCAGGCCTGGAGGGGTGGTGGTGTGGTGAGCCATCCACGACTTCATGAATGAAGAGCAGCAGAGCCTCCGTCACCAGAGCGAACCAAACACACAGAGATCGAAAGAACGAGTCGAGTCCTCAATATATGTTTGCCCTAAACATCCTTAGACGGACCTCCCAAAGAGATAATGGAAAAGCAACATCCATTTCAACCTGTAACTGGAAACCGATTCTTTCTAATCCGGTCCACCTATTAAAAAACACGCGCCCCCCCCCTAATAAGGAAACCTCGGTCGCCTTTTTTTGATCGGGGGTCCCTGAAATCGGGGTGGTCCAAAATAAAGTCACCTGGGAAGGGGTTCAAAACCAAAAAGTCACCCAGGAAATTTTATATTAAATCATTTATTAAACTCGTATCATTTATTAAACTCGTATCAAACATTGAAAAAACCTCCAGATCGAAGGTGCTTCATTTTCCCCTGCAAAAGCCTTTATTAGAATAGTGATTCTTCATTATATAGACTAACAACTATATAAAGCTTTCGAAAGGTGATGTCACTGTGCCATTGGGGGAAAGTGCGTTGGCGTGAGTCCGTGCCATTGGGGGAAGGAAAGCCTGCTGGTGTAAACACGGCGTGTCATGGTGGATAGACAGGGTGGACAGAGGTTGGCAGTTACGGTTGTTTTTGGAACCTATTTAAAATGAACTCCTCCAAAATCGGCCATGTTGGTAGTTTAGTAGCGATTCAAAAACGATTATGCACGGTATTTAGGGGTTTCCGACATGATTTTTTAATAGGGGTCCGTTTTTTAAATAGGTACTCGGGATGATTTGGGACACACCAAGTCTGGAAACCCGGTCCCCACATGGACCGCCCCTTAACTCGCTGACCGGTCCCCAAACGCAGCGCCCGTCAGGCCACCTTAACGGAGGCGTTGCTGCGGCCTCCGGCGGAGACGCCGCAAGAGCTGGAGGCGAAGGGGCGCGAGCCAACGCGACGGGTGAGCGAGCCACCGTGGTGTGCGAGTCGGTGGCCTCGTTTCCTTTTAGCACCTTCTTTTGCGACCCGGGGAGGCTCATCTTCTTCTGGGCACAACATAGTGTTTTCTTACTGGATGTGGAATTGGAACTGTTCCAACCACCTGGGACATCTTTTCTGGGGCACAGCTAAGTACAGTATGCAACTTCCAACTCCAAGTGGAAGTCGAAACTGGCCGGGAGAAGAGGTCGGCTTGGAACCATCAACCATCAGTTTTGCCACCTCCCTTTTCTTCGGAGTCATGTGTTTTCAAAGTGACAATGGAGGCATGTAGCATGAATGAAGGCACTTGCCCAAAACCGATGTGACTCCTCAGAACAATTGCAATGTTCTTATGCCCCTGTGCTTTTGAGACATTGCTATTGATGAGTTTTGCGGTGGACGTGATTGAGGTTAGCTAATTGGAGCAAACAATTCTTGGCGCGTTCTTTTCAATGTGATGAAGCTGATGGGTGACGATGTCTACGTAATGTTTCAGATCAAATTGCACCCCAGAAGTATATATTTTCTTGGTGAAGGTGTTCATCACTGTCATTTGTGGCAGTTTTTTACTACGTAGTTGTTGCTAAGCGCCATGCGTGTTCAGTGGACTCAGCTGGACCTCCATGTATGCCAGCAACTCAAAACTGTAGCAAGCAGCCTTCCATGTGGTCGCCACCGTGTCGCCACCCTCGCATCGTCACCTCGCTGCCGAACAACCGCTGCGTCGGAAGTCGGTCCGTGAGGACCTCTCCAACGCGGTCATGGAGTCCGTCCGCGTGGCCCTCGCGCGGAAGGCACAGATGATTGTGTCGCTCGGCGAAAACAGGGGGAGCATCCGAGATACTCGGAGCTGGCGCCATACGGCGTGGCGCGAGGTTTTGTTCGTTCACTGAGGGCGTGAAGGATCGGGAGCTCTTGAGGCTTCTGGAGTTCGGCCCGAGCGAAAGAGCCGCGAAGCTTTCGCCGTTGTTCAACTGGGGGATGACGTCACTGTAGTGCCAAACAGGCACCAAACGGTCCAGAGATCCTGTACAGTGACAAGTTGCGAAACTGCTTTGCTCGAACACCTTCATTGATGTCAATTCAGATGGTTGATGATGCGTGGTTGATGCTGGATCCTTCATGTCAACAGTCGAGCCATTTCTGGTCGGAAGAGATGTCCAGTGGACACGGCATTCTCGCAGTACGGCACTGGCGCGCCCAGTGCTGTTGCGCTGACGCTTCTCAAGCTCGGGTTGTGTCGGATGTTCTTTCCTGATATTTGCCTTATTTGTCCTTCAACCGGCTCGAGTCTTTGTAACTGTACATCCTTGGAGACTCTTTGAGTTTCTCGTAGCTTCTTTGGTGCCCGATGTGCAGTCGCCTTAGCCTTTTGCAAACCACCCACTACAACCCCCATAACTCACTTGTCCCTTCAAGCATTGCTTGCAATGACTTTCGGCGTCACCTCTTGCCATCCTCCGAGCGGCTGGGAGCTCGAATCGAAGCTGCGCGCTGGACGTGCCGAGGCATTGTGCCGCGGATGAACATTTGATGCACGTCCGGGGCTCACCGAGAACTCGTGGAGCTTGTGGTGTTGAGCTCAGGTACCAGTACAGGTTCCCACCATGGATCCGGTATAGAGGCGATACTATAAGATACCGGATGCCTCATGATGGAATAATATAGACCTTCCCTCCCAGCAAACATGGAAGTTGCTCCTTTCCTCTACAAACGGGTGGTTGTCCATTTCCATGCGCTGTTTGAGGATGTTTGAGGGATTGTAAATTTATACCTTGGGGTGGGTGGGGCTGAAAGGGGGTCCGTAAATATGCCGGGCACATTGAATTGGTTGTGTAACGTAATTGATTTCCTCCTGACAACTGTTACAGAAACCTCGTCATCGATGCTCATGCAAGCGATCAGCACTGACCCCCCCACTCGGGGATGGGATGTAGCACCTTTGTTCCGGTCGGTTCGGACGTCCGCTCAGCTCCCGACCATCGGCCGCAGTTTTTCACCGCAGTTCCGGACGGCGTTCAGTACGCCGGGGGAGGGAACCCAAGTCATCCGCGGTGGGGGGCGGATGGCCTCGCCGAAATCACGGAGCAGGTGCCGGTCCATGGAGAA